GCAGAGTCCCCCCCCCAGCCCCGGCCCGAGCCCCAGGAGGGGACCCTGCGGCTCCCAGTCCTGCCCCCCGTGGAGGCCGCGCCCCCTCCACCCCCCCCACCGCCCCCCCTTCCGCCCCCCGCGCCCCCACTCCCAGGTGAGGAGGGGGAGCCCCCGGGGCATCCCCCAAAATGGGGCATCCCCGAGCTGGGCTGTCCCCAGGGGTGGGAGGGGGGGCTCTCAAAGTGGGGTGTCCCTCATGCTGGGCTACTCCAGAGGGTGGGGGGAGTCCCCAGAATTGGGGTCTCACCCTCTCGTGGCTTCACAGGGAAGTGCCCCCCGGCCCCGCCGCTGCCCGGGGCTTCGCCCTCCATCGCCCTCACCGTCGGGCTCTCGGGTAAGGGAGGGTGCAGGGACGTGGGGATGGGGACAGGGATGGTGCAGGGACTGTGGGAATGGGGACAGAGAGGACATGGGGACCAGGGAGACGGGGACAGGGGACAGGCACCGTGAAGGAATCAGGATGGGACAGGGAGGGTGGAGGCATTGTGGGGACAGGGACAGGGGACGGGGAAGGGTTGCAGGCACCAGGGTGTCAGGATTGCAATCCCCAAGGAACACCCGTTCAGGAACAGGGATGGGGTGGCCCAGGGGATGGTGACACCGGACTCAGATGGCTCAGGGTGGGCACAGGACCTGTCCCCCCTCCTCCCGCTGCCCCGGGGGGTGCTGAGCCGGCTCCCACCCCTCTGGCAGCCATCCGGATCAAGAAGCCCATCAAGACCAAATTCCGGTTGCCCGTGTTCAACTGGACGGCGCTGAAGCCCAACCAGATCAGCGGGACCGTGTTCAGCGAGCTGGACGACGAGCGGGTGCTGGAGGTGAGCCCGGGACCCCCTCATGAGCCCCCTGGGTGGGCACCAGCACCCCCCCACCCACCTGTGACCCCTCCCCTCGTCCCCCCCAGGACCTGGACCTGGAGCGCTTCGAGGAGCTGTTCAAGACCAAGGCGCAGGGCCCGGCGCTGGACCTGGTGTGTGCCAAGAGCAAGGCGGCGCAGAAAGTGGCCACCAAGGTGACGCTGCTGGAGGCCAACCGTGCCAAGAACTTGGCCATCACCCTGCGCAAGGCCGGGCGCGGCGCCGACGAGATCTGCCGGGCCATCCACACGTACGACCCCACATAGGGGGGGGAACGGGAGGTGGGGGGGCAGGGAGGGTTGGTTGGCATTCAGGTGGGTCCAGGCAGAGTCCAGGGGGGCTGGCAGGGGTGCAGAGGGGGTTGGTTGGGGTGCAGGAGGGTCCTGGCAGGTTGCAGGGGGTCTGGCTGGGATTCAGGGGTTCGGGCAGGTTTCGGGGGGGCCAGGCTGGGGTTTGGGGCTCCCACTGCCGTGAGCTGCTCCCCGACATTGCGGGCACGGGGCAGGTTCGACCTGGCGACGCTGCCGGTGGATTTCGTGGAGTGCCTGATGCGGTTCCTGCCCACGGAGGCCGAGGCCAAGGCGCTGCGTCAGTACGAGCGCGAGCGGAAGCCGCTGGAGGAGCTGGCGGACGAGGACCGGTTCATGCTGCAGTTCAGCAAGGTGGAGAGGCTGCCCCAGCGCATGGCCATCATGGCCTTCCTCGGCAACTTCGCCGAGAACATCCAGATGCTGACGCCGGTACGGAGCCGGGAAAGGGGGGATTGTTCCTGCTGGCCCCCACCCCTGCCCTGGCTGAGTCCCCCCTGTGCTGTCCCCCTGCAGCAGCTCAACGCCATCATCGCGGCCTCGGCCTCCGTCAAGTCCTCCCAGAAGCTGAAGCACATGTTGGAGGTGAGAACAGGCTGGGTGGGGGTCCTGCGCTCCAGCCTCGCTGGAGCTGGGAGAAGGGGGGGGTCCTGTGGGGGTCCCACTCTCTCCTGACCTCCCAATCCCCGGTGCTTCGCCCCTGCAGATCATCTTGGCGCTGGGCAACTACATGAACAGCAGCAAACGCGGCGCCGTCTACGGCTTCAAACTGCAGAGCCTGGACCTGGTGGGCAGCCCCTGCCCCCCCATCCCTCTCCCCGGCTCCCTGGGACCCCCCCAGGGGGTCCCATCCCACAGCGCTGACCCCCCCTCCCCAAATCCTGCTGCAGCTCCTGGACACCAAGTCGACGGACAGGAAGATGACGCTGCTGCACTTCATCGCGCTGACGGTGCGGGAGAAGTACCCGGAGCTGGCGACCTTCTGGCAGGAGCTGCACTTCGTGGAGAAGGCGGCGGCAGGTGCCCCCCCCGTGCCCGCAGCCCCCCCTCACTGTGCCCACACCGCAGGGCCCCTGACCCGCCCCGTGTCCCCCGCAGTGTCCCTGGAGAACGTGCTGCTGGACGTGAAGGAGCTGGGCCGGGGGATGGAG